CTGTTTTCCAAGGCCAATGGACCCTGTCGATGATGTTCAGGTGCTCTCTGGTGTGCATCTTCGGGTGGTATTGGTGGTATTGTCTTGTTCATCGTGCATCAGCAGGGCCAGCGCGATGCCTGGTGCTGAGCAGCGCTAAGCCACAGCTTCCCCGGTTTGTGTTGACGTGAGGTGAGCGTCTACCGCACGACTAGTCGGTCTCCATCCGCAGACAGGTACTGCGGTACGACGGATGGGGCGGTGGACACCGGATGAAGCGAGGTACCTCGACGAGGATACCAAGTATCTTTTCTGCGGGGAGGGGATGCACGAGTGACTTCTCCTATTCCATCTCATGTACCTGCGAATACTGGGCAGTCGCGAAGATGGGAGGCAGTTGCCGGGACAGGACTCCAGTTTCCAGGAGCTGCTGCTCACCCTTCACCGTCACCGCGGTTTGGCCTGTTGCTTGCTGCTGCTCGCACACAGAGACAGAGGGCTACAAGAGAGAGCAAAAAAAAGAAGTCCACACTCAGCCCAGTCGGGCCAATCCCAATGCTATTCTGATCCATCATCCAAGCCATCCTCCACTGGACGCCGCTTCCACTCGCGCGCTCCCACTGGGCTGTCCACCTTCTTTTACTGCCCACCACAAAACTTCCAGTCCTGAGGTGTCCCTCCCATCCCATCAGCAACGCCGCCAGCCCGTGGGACCCTTTTTTAACCATTTGCTGCCCCGTCCTACATCACCACCCTCTCCCCTTCTACTCCTCTTGCCCCCCCAGCCCTTCCATCAATCTCATCCTTCTTTTACCCTTCGGTTCACCATTCGCTACCGGGGTTGTGGCTTTCACGGCCGCACATCTCCTACATAACCTACAGGGCCTCTGTGACCGCATCCCGTCACTCCTCAAAACTCCTGTCCCATCCCCCATCCTACCTGGGTGTTTACTTCCTGCTTCCTGAAAAGGAACATAATCGACCCTTCCTAATTCGACCACCGTCAAAGGCGAAAATCCCTACCGCCAACATCACGAAAAGCTCTCGCAGCTTCTGAGTTCACCCGCAGCAAACATGGCGTACCGCGGGGGGAACGGCGGGAACGATTATGATGCCCATGACGGCCATAACCTGCAGGACCTTCCTGCTGGCTCTGGCAGAGTAAGCTTCACTCTCTGGCGCCTGCCCTCACCTTGAGTCCTTTCGCTAACTTTCCTGCTCTCCAGTACCACATCCCTCCCCAAGACGAAGGTGTTGACGATGCCGGTCAGTCTCTTCTGAGAGACCCTCACGCCCCAGCTCCCTATGAGAGCCACCTGGGACCTGCCGAGACTCCTGGCCGCCCGGTTTCCGCATACTCTCTCACAGAATCATACGCTCCTGGCGCTGGCTCTCGGACACCAGTTCCTGGCGAAGCTGCCTTCTCCACTGGCTACCGCTCCGAGCTCGACTCCGACAATGGCGGCTTCGGATATGGCCGTCCCGCCTCGACTGTCGGCGATGTCGAGGACAGCTGGGTCCGCAGACAACAGCCCGGTGGCCCCGGTGGTGGTCTGAAGCGTTACGCGACCCGTAAGATCAAGCTCACTCAGGGCTCCGTCCTGAGCATTGACTACCCCGTCCCCAGTGCCATCAAGAACGCTGTTCAGCCCAAGTACCGCGATGTCGAGGGCGGCAGCGATGAGTTCCACAAGATGCGCTACACCGCCGCTACTTGCGATCCTAACGACTTCACCCTCAAGAATGGTTACGATCTGCGTCCCAGAATGTATAACCGACACACTGAGCTGCTCATTGCCGTCACCTACTACAACGAAGACAAGGTTCTCTTGTCGCGTACCCTCCACGGTGTCATGCAGAACATTCGCGACATTGTGAACCTCAAGAAGTCTACTTTCTGGAACAAGGGCGGTCCCGCCTGGCAGAAAATCGTCGTCGCCCTCGTTTTCGACGGTCTCGACAAGACTGACAAGAACGTGCTGGACGTTCTGGCCACCATTGGTGTCTACCAGGATGGTGTCGTGAAGAAGGATGTCGACGGCAAGGAGACGGTGGCCCACATCTTCGAGTACACCACTCAACTGTCCGTCACCCCCAACCAACAGCTCATCCGCCCGGTTGACGATGGCCCGTCAACCCTCCCACCTGTTCAGTTCATTTTCTGTCTGAAGCAGAAGAATACCAAGAAGATCAACTCCCACAGATGGCTTTTCAACGCCTTCGGTCGCATCCTGAACCCCGAAGTCTGCATCCTCATCGACGCCGGTACCAAGCCCAGTCCCCGATCGCTACTCGCTCTGTGGGAGGGATTCTACAACGACAAGGATCTTGGCGGTGCTTGCGGTGAGATTCACGCAATGTTAGGCAAGGTTCGTGCCATTTTCCCTCGTTTTCGTCGTCTTCATTGTTTTCGTTGTTTCCCTCGTTTCCCGCGTATTTGAAGTGTACTTGAAGTATACTAACACCTAAGTGAAGGGCGGCAAGAAGCTGCTTAACCCCCTCGTGGCGGTCCAGAACTTCGAGTACAAGATCTCCAACATTCTGGACAAGCCCCTCGAGTCCTCTTTCGGATACGTCTCTGTGTTGCCCGGTGCTTTCTCCGCCTACCGCTTCCGTGCGATTATGGGTCGCCCGTTGGAGCAGTACTTCCATGGTGACCACACTCTTTCCAAGATTCTCGGAAAGAAGGGTATTGATGGAATGAACATTTTCAAGAAGAACATGTTCTTGGCCGAGGATCGTATTCTCTGCTTCGAACTGGTCGCCAAGGCTGGCCAGAAGTGGCATTTGTCCTACATCAAGGCTGCCAAGGGTGAGACTGATGTTCCCGAGGGTGCTCCCGAGTTCATCTCCCAGCGTCGTCGTTGGCTCAACGGTTCCTTCGCTGCCTCCCTCTACTCGCTCATGCACTTCGGTCGCATGTACAAGTCCGGCCACAACATCATCCGCATGTTCTTCTTTCACGTCCAACTCATCTACAACATCCTCCAGGTCATGTTCACATGGTTCAGTTTGGGTTCCTACTACCTGACTACGACGGTTATCATGGATCTCGTCGGCAACCCGGTCACTTCCGACGACGAGAGTCAGGTGCGCCACGGCTGGCCCTTTGGCGACACCGCGACACCCATCTTCAACGCCCTGCTCAAGTACCTCTACCTCGCCTTCGTTATCCTGCAGTTCATTCTCGCTCTGGGTAACAGACCAAAGGGTTCTAAGTACACGTACATTGCCTCGTTCATTGTCTTCGGTCTTATCCAGTCTTACATCCTGATTCTCTCGGCATACCTGGTCGTGCAAGCGTTCCAGAAGCCCATCAGCGAGCAGATCAGCTTGGACTCTGGCGCAGACTTTGTCGCTAGTTTCTTCGGAGGTACGAACGCTGCCGGTGTTATTCTTGTCGCCTTGGTTACTATCTACGGTCTTAACTTCATCGCATCCTTCATGTACCTCGACCCTTGGCACATGTTTACCTCGTTCCCTCACTACCTGGTGCTCATGTCGACCTACATCAACATTCTCATGGTCTACGCCTTCAACAACTGGCACGATGTGTCCTGGGGTACCAAGGGTTCAGACAAGGCCGAGGCGCTTCCTTCAGCCCAGGTCAGCAAGGGCGAGAAGGACGAAGCCGTTGTGGAGGAAATCGACAAGCCACAGGAGGATATTGATAGTCAGTTCGAATCGACTGTCAAGCGTGCTCTGGAGCCATTCAAGGAGGAAGAGGAAGTCGAGAAGCCCGATGTCGAGGACTCGTACAAGTCTTTCCGTACTGGTCTGGTCGTTTCTTGGCTCTTCTCCAACACCTTCCTGATCATCATCATCACGAGTGATAACTTCAACTCGTTTGGCATTGGCGTAAGTCCCCGATTTATCCAATATCACATGGAACTTGAACTAACTTTACGCAGAAATCCGCGTCCGCTCGTACTGCCTCTTACTTCAGCTTCTTGCTGTACTCCACCGCCGTCCTCTCCCTGGTCCGTTTCTTCGGTTTCCTGTGGTTCTTGGGCAAGACCGGTATCATGTGCTGCTTCTCCAGACGGTGATCGGTTCACGATGTGGTGTTCAGGCGGTTTGCCGACGCTACGGCGTCGTTGTATGGATACCAGAGGGAAGACTGTACTCTTGCCATCTTTGGCCCATTTTCAGACATCCGTCGGTGTTTGCATTCAGGGTATGTGTTTTTAGTAATAAAGGGCACGGGACTCGACAGATTCTTCATGAAATGGCCGAAAGGGTCAGTAAAAGTAGTATTTGAGTAGTAGCATTCCGGGCGTTTTTACATGACTCGACCATCCTATTCCACGAAATGAATATGATTTTATAAGAGAACACCTACATTTCATTTCCTATGGGCTCGCTGTCGTTGCTACTGTCGTCATCATTGCCGTTGTTGTCCGCCACCATCGTCCGCTATCGTCGTCTCTCTGTGACTCAAATTCGTCCTTGATTGAAGCAAAGTTTCAAGACGCTGGGTTTTGAGTACACAGGAAATATACCTGCGCAGACATACAAATATTAGGCGGTCTCTTATACAAGACCATATCTCTCAACTTTCTAATGGAACATCGACAGCGATGACTATGAAATAACTGAATTACACCGGATTGCCAGTCACCTGACTATTTATTACTTGTTGGTTGCAAGCGCTCAGATGAAGAAAGAACCTTGCTGGTTCCTTCCGTCAGCACCCAACAGGCGGCGAGACAAAGAAAGCGGGCCCGGTAGAACCCCGGTTAAACGCAGCTGCCTATCTTATCGCGAAGTTAGGTGACCGCATTGACTGGTGCCCAGTTGGCCCGCCTAAGTTCTTCTGCTGTGGCAAGCCATATTCGCGATACCCTTACGGAAGCAACCACTCTTTTGCTACGGAGAAATCCAGACCACGCGAATCTCTCTAGACGACTGGGAGCCTACTCAAGGTCTGCGATACTCGCGATTTTCCCGCCTGCCCGCGCTTTCATCCGACTGCCCCGCCTTCGGCTGCATCAGCATTACCCCCCCAAAGATCGGTCAAGATGTTGAAGATTTGGTCGATGGTCAGCTCGCCTTGGGAAACTTGCCGGACAAGCTCCATACTGATTGTTTCCTAGAAAAAAGAGCAGCAGAAGGCTGAAAATGCCGACGCTGCTGGCGGAAAGAAGAAGAAGGTGACGGCCGCCCAACTACGAGTGCAAAAGGGTCAGACTGTATCATGAACAAGTCGACGACATTCTCGCTAACACGGATGGCATATAGACCTGTCGGAACTTTCCCTCGGCTCTACGATGAAGACAGACTTTCCTGATCCCGACGACATTCTCCACTTCACGTTGACCATCGAGCCCGACGAGGGCATGTACCGCACCGGACGTTTCACTTTCAGTTTCGATATCAACCAAAATTTCCCCCATGAGCCGCCAAAGGTCCGCTGCAAGGAGAAGATCTACCACCCCAACATCGATCTCGAGGGCAAGGTCTGCCTGAACATTCTGCGCGAGGACTGGAAGCCGGTGCTGAACTTGAATGCCGTTATTGTCGGCCTACAGGTATGTCGGACCAGCCACGGCCGCCCCGGGTTGAACTCGTCGACTAACCGGTGCTCCTTTGCAGTTTCTTTTCCTCGAACCCAACGCCTCCGATCCGCTGAACAAGGAAGCCGCAGAGGACCTCAGACTGAACCGCGAAGGATTCAAGCGCAACGTTCGGACGGCGATGGGCGGTGGCACCGTCAAGGGGGTGAGCTACGACCGTGTGTTGAAATAGGATGGCCATCTGCAAATAGATTTCCGGCCTTCCTGGAAACAGGCCAGCCGGACTGGGTCCCTGGTCACCCGGGAATCGAGATGTCGCGTTGATCACTCCAGCGGGGTATGGCGGGGTTCTAGGACAGACGGCATGCGCGCATTTGGGAGGTCGGTGGGCATCGCTATAGCATCATCGTCCGGCGTTCATGGATACAATATTACGGATATCAAGAAGGCGAACATTGGGCAAAGGCATCCTTTCAGTCTGGCTAGACAGGTTATTTGCGCAGATGGACTGAGAAGACCTGAGCAAGGCGAATGAAGTGCGGGGGAGATGGGGACACTGATGCAAGCAGAGCAACGGTCACCACGAGTTTGCGAAGCGGTTTTGAGAAGCAGCCTAGAAGAGTATCCGGAATGCAAAGAGCGTTGCTGTGTTACGAGAGTAAACTCAACAGACCAATCACGGATGCGTGTGCCTCTCGTCAAGAAGCAATCAAGCAGAAGGAGTCACAGCTCTGTCGGAGCTTGCCTTCGAAAGAGGAGTCACAGAAGGGCCGACGAAGCTAAACATAGGCCTCCGGCCGCGACCGCAGGCGTAGCTGGGGGCCGTAGCCGGCGATTTGGCTGTCGGTGAGGGGCCCGGAAACGGTCCATCGTGTGTGACTCTTCGCTGATGGTTGGACTACGAGGTTGGCGGGGTGGGCTCGCTGGTCCACAGAACCCGCCTCGCCGGCAATAACGTTGATTGCTCCCCGAGGTCTTAGGTAAGGCCGCTGTCAAATAGGAACCGCTTCAAGTCCAGACCAGGTAGAGGCTACCCCGACCTCGCAGCAAAGTCCCTGCTTTCTCCAAACGTTTCCCAAGTCCCCAGTACCCGCCCTCCCACTTGACGGGCCCCTTGCGGCACCGTACCGAACCCCGGACGCTTCAGAAGGCTTCCCCACCATGGACACACAAGAGCACAGGCCAGACGACGCAGGCTAACCCACCAACGAGGCAAGCTGGGCCGAAGTCGGGGGTCAGCTCGCCCGTCTCTAATCCAGTAAAAAATTTCCCAATTCCAAACGCCTTTTCCCATCGGTGAACTCTGTCTTTTCTCATCATTCCGTCCTCCTCTTCTTCTCTCCTTCCTTACAATTGAATTGTACGGATACCCTCTCCACTCCCCTTCCATCCCCCAAAACCACAGTTCACAATGGCCTCCCGCGGTTTCTCCAAGGCTCTTCGCCCTATGGCTCGCCAGTTGGCGGCCAAGCCTGCTACCCAGCAGCGCACCTTCGTTGCTGCCCGCAGCCTGGTTCGCGCCTCTGCTCAGGTTTCCAAGGCCTTCGCCGGCCAGCAGCAGACCCGTGGTGTCAAGACCATGGACTTCGCCGGCCACAAGGAGGACGTCTACGGTAAGAGAGAGACGAGCCCAAGAATTGACCCCGCAATGACTCGCGAGAGATTGCTAACTTTCATGCCACAGAGCGTGCCGACTGGCCCCAGGAGAAGCTCTTGGTGAGTCACATTTGAGCATTTGGGAGGAATCCAAAGCAATTGGAGCTAACAGAGACCTGCAGGAGTACTTCAAGAACGACACCCTCGCCCTCATCGGCTACGGCTCCCAGGGCCACGGCCAGGGTCTTAACCTCCGTGACAACGGCCTCAACGTCATCGTTGGTGTCCGCAAGAACGGCCAGTCCTGGAAGGACGCCCAGCAGGACGGCTGGGTTCCCGGCAAGAACCTCTTCGATGTCGATGAGGCCATCTCCCGCGGTACCATCGTCATGAACCTCCTCTCCGACGCCGCTCAGTCCGAGACCTGGCCCGCTATCAAGCCCCAGCTCGTCAAGGGCAAGGTACGTGAACTTTGGGGTGCAATTGGTAGCTCAATTGGGCAAAACTGACCTTCATAGACCCTCTACTTCTCCCACGGCTTCTCCCCCGTCTTCAAGGATGTCACCAACGTCGACGTCCCCAAGGACATTGACGTCATCCTCGTCGCCCCCAAGGGCTCTGGCCGCACCGTCCGCTCCCTCTTCCGTGAGGGCCGTGGCATCAACTCCTCCTTCGCCGTCTTCCAGGACGTCACCGGCAAGGCCAAGGAGAAGGCCCAGGCTCTCGGTGTCGCCATCGGCTCCGGCTACCTCTACGAGACCACCTTCGAGAAGGAGGTCTACTCCGACCTGTACGGCGAGCGTGGCTGCCTCATGGGTGGTATCCACGGCATGTTCCTTGCCCAGTACGAGGTTCTCCGTGAGCGCGGCCACTCCCCCAGCGAGGCCTTCAACGAGACCGTCGAGGAGGCTACCCAGTCTCTGTACCCCCTGATCGGTGCCAACGGCATGGACTGGATGTACGAGGCCTGCTCCACCACCGCCCGCCGCGGTGCCATCGACTGGACCCCCAAGTTCAAGGACGCCCTCAAGCCCGTCTTCAACTCCCTGTACGACGCCGTCAAGGATGGCTCCGAGACCAAGCGCTCCCTGGAGTACAACGGCCAGAAGGACTACCGCCAGAAGTTCGAGGCTGAGATGGAGGAGATCCGCAACCTGGAGATCTGGAGAGCCGGCAGAGCCGTCCGGTACGTGCCCACCCCTCCTCCCCCACTTATCAACACACTAGAGTTCACCTAGCTAACATTATGTCCCTCACAGCTCTCTGCGTCCCGAGAACCAGAAGTAAATGGTTCAACGTTGATGTCTTCAAACAAAATTTTATGAGCGGGGAAAAAACATTTACTCGGAACGGCCATTTCCTAACCACTGTCTTGGGGAGACGGGGGGACTTTTGTACTTATAACACCGGATTCTAGGCGGATCTGGTGAGGCCTGGTTCAAAAGTTTGCATCTTGGACGTTGGGATCCTTCAATACCATTTCTTTTACTGTCAAAAGTCATTTGACAACGTCCCGGTTCCTGCGTTCGACAAATGTGCAATTGTGTGTGTGTGTGTATGCGTGACGGCGGTGTCTGTGCTCGGCCAGACGCCTGGAGAGAGAGGTAGGACCCTGCATGGGACCGAAATGACTCGTCCGCCTCTCACTAGCGTTATCTTCGCGGATTGCGACACTGCGACCTCATTTGACACCCCCACGCTTCCGCTGCCTCTTGGATTTTGACTGTTGAATCCGTTGAAGGTTGCGGACGAGTTCCGTGGTATTGTCGGCATTTGACATGTGCGTCGGAGAGCCTTTGGCCGTTCATGAGCAGGCAGTCTCCGGAGCTGGCCCCGATGCGTATATGAAATATTGAGATTGCACTTATGCGCCGATTTGACTTTTTGCGACGGGGGTTCCGAGCTAGACTACGGCGGCCCTACGAAAGATTTGGTGCTCCTGGTCCGACGGTGTGGAAATTGGGCCTGCCGTTTGGCTTTTGCAACTACTCTGGAAAAGGTGCAGCCCAAGTTGGCAAAGTCAAGAAATCAAGCTGGCTATCATGCCATTTCCAAATGCCCCAAATGAAGGTAGTTTCTCAGTGTTTCGACTTCTGAATACCGGGTATTCCCGTTATGGCCAGACTTCAAGACACTGGGAGAGGCGTTGCCCACAGAAACGATCGGCAATGATAGCGCCACAATGGCGCTGACGCGTTAAGCCCTGGGGCACGCGACGGGCGTCTGCTCAGACATTCGAAACGGTCCTTCATCTTGCTTCAGTTCATGGAAAGCGATTGAGACCAGATATCAATCGCAGAATATGCCTCTCTATCGTGATGCCCTCGCCATGAAACAAAACGCTCACCTTAAACTCTACGTCGTTGACCTCGGTGTGTCGGTGTAGGATTTTGCCGTACCTGTAGCGACAGAGAGTCCAGTGCCCCACCCCCCTTTTGTCTGTGCATTCTCTGTCTCCCGGTAGTCGTTGCTCTGTCAACAGCAAACAAGCCCAGGGCCCCTTCCCACCCCCTTCATCTCACAAGCGAGCCCAAAATGGCTTTTGCTCGGTATTCCATCGAAATATCAATCAATTGACGATTGCTCTACTAGTCTCTCCCGAAAGCTCTCCGCGCGGAAAGAAAGAACCAAGAAACCGCCCACGCAAACCTAATCTCTACTGGCAGTTTGCGCACCATGACGCCGCTGTCCCCAGCAAAGGAATCCAGACTCAACGTTACCACGTCCCCTACTGAACAAGAAGGAAACCGCGGTTCCTTTGAGCAACACCGCTACGAGGTCCACTCCCGCACTGAGACAACCGCAAACGGTGGTGATGGTAGTAGCGATAACACCACCACTACGACGACGACCACTGCTATCACCTCTACAAACGACACCGAGAACATGCCGCCCTCTCCCTCAGATTCCTCCCCGTCGCCGCCGCCCTCTGCGCCGGCGACGGCACTCAAGAACCAGCGCCACTCTCGTGTAATGTCTGGCACCGCGCCCTCACCGCTCAAGATACTCGCCGGTGCCGAGACAACGGAAAAGCAAGCACGGAGCCCGCTGCGCAAGACACTCATCTCCCCAGACAAACGCTTCCCCATCAGGGTCAGCAACCCGTCTTCCGTCGAGTCGCCGCGCTCCGTCTCCGTCTCCTCAAACTCTCCACCACGCGAACGCACCATGAGCCTCGAGGACGCACTGCGCGACAACGACGGCCTGAAGCACGCCATTGAGATTTTTGAGGACGACGAGACCACTGGTATGGAGACGGACGATAACACCGCCGACGAGACGTCCAGCACCATCGCCGAGCCCGTCACCGACCACCACACCGACATGGCCCACGGCTACGAGGACCAGAGCAGCCTGGCCCCTGACGAGACCATGATGAGCACCTTCAGCACCTTCTCCGCCGTCCCCAACCTGACCACCTTTGCGAAGCTTGGTCTCACCCCGCAAAAGCATGGCGGTATGACCCCGCGAGGCAGACCCGAGACCGTGCACGAGCAGACTCCGCGACACCAACTGGCGCAGGAGGGCAACACCACAAATCTGCTCGACTTCACCGACAGCCAGAGGTTTCCCCACAAGTCGCCCTCCCGGCGGGGGACCACGTCGCCGTCCAGGGGAAACCCCAACGCCGCCACTCCCGCCCGCCAAATGTCGAATCTCCTCGACTTTGATATCCCGCCGCTGCCCACCCCCCGCAGCATCCCGACCATCACACCGCGTGAGCTCGAGAGCCTCAAGTCCAACTTCCTCTCTGAGATCAGCAGCCTGAAGGCGTCGCTGAGCGGCAAGGAGGCCGAGGTCCTCTCCCTTAAGACCGCCGTCGGCGATGCGGAGAAGCGCGTCGGCGAGAGCCAGGAACAGGCCCGTGAAGAGAGGGCGCTGCGTGAGCAGATCGAAGACGAGAAGGATGCCTGGGAGAACAGCAGCCGCGAGATGGAAGCGGTGCTCCGCACCGTGAAGGAGGAGATCGTAGAGAGCACCCGCGAGCGCGAGGAGCTCGAGTCCAAGCTCGCCGAGTGCGAAGGCCGCCGTGAGGCCGCAGAGACCATGGCTCAGGAAGCCGAGAGCAAGCTGGCCAGCATGCGCGCCGGCAAGCCCGAGAAGGAGGGCTCCTCCCCCGACAAGAAGGCGGGCGCGGCCGCGACGTCTAAGGAAGTCGAGATCGCCGTCGAGCGTGTGGCCCGCGAGCTGCACGCCCTCTACAAGGGAAAGCACGAGACCAAGGTCGCGGCGCTCAAGAAGAGCTACGAGACGCGCTGGGAGAAGAAGGTGCACGAGCTCGAGGTCCGCATCGAGGAGCTCACCGAGGAGAACAAGAAGATGCACCTCACCCGCGACAACACCCCGCGCGTGGACCCCGCGCAACAGGCCATGGTCGAGGAGCTCAAGGCGAACGCCATCACCGACGCCGCCCACATCAAGGAGCTCAGCGCCGAGGTCGAGAAGCTCGAGGCCGTCGTGCAGACGGTCAAGGACGACAACGCGGAGCTGCGCCAGATGCTCGAGCAGGAGCGCGTCGAGAAGGGCGAGCTCGTGCAGCTTGCCGAGGAGATGATGCAGGTGCAGACCCACGCCGCGCAGGAGGCCGAGCGGGAGCGCGAACGCGAGAGAGAGCGCCAGCGCGAGCTGGAGTGGGAGCGTGAGCGTGAGGCTGCCCGGGAGCGTGAGAGAGAACGCGAGAGGGAGAGGGAGCGCGAGCGTCAGCGCGAGTTGGAGTTCAACCAACCCCGCAAGACCACCACGACGCCAGCCCGCGCGCCCTCGGTCAGGAGCCACCCCGAGACCTCCAACTTCCGCAGCAGCATCGGCCGCGGCACCTCAGGCCTCAAGGCGCCCGGTTCCATCGCTAGCCACGGGCGCACCGGCAGTGCCGGCCCGGCAGCCAAGGGCCTGCCCCGCCCCAGGCCGATGAGCGAGTTTGGACCGAGGAGCGGCATCATGAGCTCCATTGAAAAGATGGGCAGCCACCGCGGGCGCGCGGACTAAGCTGCGTCCGTCCTCGTCATAGGACCGGCTTTTCCCATGTCTCCTCTCAAAGAAGTACTTTTTTATTTACTACGACGGCCTACGACGGCAACGAAACGAAATGGACGAAAGCATTTACACACTCTCAAAGCATCACCCCACCCCCTACCCCCCAAACCAACCCGCCCGCCGAACCACGATGGAGGAAGAAAAGGAGAAGAGGAAGAAGGAGAAGAAGAGGAAGAGAGGTAGCATTGACGTAACGAACTGGCGTCACGGTTTGGGCCCCCCTTGTTTATGGTCTTTTTGTTTGATACCAAAAGGGACCCTCCAGCACAGCAAAACTGGTAGTCTCTGATGAAGGACTCTTTCCACGGGGGTGGTGGCGTTTTCATGTCTTTTTTTTCTTGTTTTTGTTTAATGTTTAAGTTGAACAAAGTTGTTGGATCGAAGGATGGGTGGATGGATGGATGCATGGTTGGACTTGGCTTTGGGTTTTAGATATTCCCTCTCTCTCGGCTTTGGCACCACTACCTCTAACCCCTTTGGATCTCTTGAATTGGTAATGTTCAGTTTCTAAACACCCTTGGCCTGTATGGACGCGCGTTGTGTGTGTGAGTATTTGATCCCGGGCTGGAATTTGCCGCTGCTGCAGGGTTCCCTTTCGTGCATGGTTGGGCGGCTGTTTGTATTGCATGTGCTTTGTGAGCGAAGATTGTGGGAAGCATGCAAAAGGGATTTGGGCACTGGACCATCGCGATACCGGCTGGGCCGGAGTGAGTTGGGAGTTGGGTAGGGAGTTGTAGTAGACTGAATTGAACCAAGTTTGGAAGGCTGGTGGTTGCGAGTGTGAGTGACTGCTGAATGAGGTTTCCATGGCGGATGGTTGGCGGCTTCTCGTGCTAGGAGGAAAAGTATACATACCGTCAGTTTGCCTGTACGTCTGGTCTGAGGAGACAGGCGGCAAATACTTCTTTCCGGTTTGAGTTAACCTTTTCGGTAAGGTGATGACAGTCGAAGGATCTCCAAGGGTTGAGTCGTCACGGGAGGAATGGGTGGATTCAAGTACTGTTTGTTGTGGGTTTGGGGTCTTGGTCTGGTTGCGGTCTCGGGGCCTGGCGGTGTATTCTTGCGGGATACTTTGTCGATGGTCAGGCTGTTGCTGGGTCAGGTTTTGTGAGGAGGGGAAATGGGGTATTAGGGCAATAGAGCCTGGTTAGGGTGGGCGGGCTTGACTGCAGCAAAGCTTGTTGGATGAATGATATTTGCTCCTTGACAGAGCTGTCCATCGCATTGTCTGAAAGGAGTTCAATGTTCAGGATGGCGCCTATTTGAAGGCTGGGTTGCTGAAGATGGTGAAGAATCCTGTTCATCTTCTGAGGGAGGGTGGGATGGGTATATAAGGACTCGAGGCCGGTGGCTCCAATTCTTCTGCGGACCCCAATGCCTTGTTCATCATCGTCAACGACTTCCATGCTCAGATATGAATTAAGCAGCGAGATCGAAGAAGCCCGAACTTCTGAATGACCTTTTCAGAACCTCCTTTGGGGGTCGTCCAATGCGCGTCTTTGAAAGTGAAGACTCATATACGACGGACGCCGACGGACGAGGGTGGACGAGGGTGGATGACAGAGGAGTGTGCGATATGCGATGGAGTGCTACTAGTCAGAGCCGACGATCAGAGCAGCTTGTGGGCCAGTTAACCTTAACAAGGCATAGAACGTAGATTGCGAGAATGGCGTCGCAATTCTTCTCCATGGCTTTGGGGGGACGGACGTACGTTTTGATGTGGGTTGGTGTTATTTATACCTGTAGGTATCTGTTGTATTGACGACAGCGATATGGCTTGTTGACCGCGAAGAAGTCAATCTTACTTTTGAGGGAATCTATTCCAGATGTATACGTTAGATTTATGGAATAATCAACGGGAACACAAGATCTCTATGCTGACACCGTAGGGTAGGGAGAACATGTTGTGCGACGGTGGCCGGACGTTGAGAAGCACGACTACTACGGGCGCATAAGCCAACTGCGAGGCCGAGTGGAATGATATATTAGGAAGAGACCTCGCATGTGGCATAAAGCATACCAATTTGGAAGCTGGGATAGTCGATCTTCAATGCGTTTGGCCTGTACACAAGTAGCCTTGCAGCCCTTTGGGGCCGTAAATCAGTCATCCGTTCGGCTGCCTTGACAGTCGCAGCGGGTCGTACATATGGAGGCTAGAATACCTGAGAGACGCACCAAATGACAGACAGTGATTAGAATCGGATTCAGGGGTGGTCTACTGTGAAAACTCCTTTTATGAGTGACTATGTAGTGGTGTGAGCAACTGACGTGCCGACGTCGAGGCCGCCCTCCGCCTTCTATCGGAACTGTGGTGACAAACCCTGATTTTGCCCTTGATCCTTTGTCTGCTTATGTCCTAAGCTACTTATATACATAAGAGATCCACGGCAGGTTCGTGCTTCCATGTTGTTTGAGCCCAGGGCCAAGAGTGACTCAGTGTTGATGTGATTGCTGTATATATGTATGACAAGCCACAAAATAGTCAATTATCCAGGCCAATGCGAGCCTTCATTATCATTTTCTCAAGGAGTCATCACCAGGAATCAAGTGCGCCTCGCTGAATGCTAAAGAGGTTCTATTGTATAAATGAGTTTCCTGTTACATCCGCAGGTGAGTTCCGGTGTATGTGGATACGAAAACACCAGGGAGATCGATAATGGAAGCTTGGCGATGGAAGAGGGAGTTTGCTGTAGACCCTCGGCTGATAATAGGCTCGTTCCCAAACAGTATTCGAGTGATGGTGTTTCGCTGTTGATCCTGACAGAAGCACATTGGCCGTTTGAAGATGGCAAGTCATCTTGTGAGCGAGGATATTTGTATTCAGAAGATGAGGTCTTGTCGCTTCATGAAGCGGTTGCAAGCCACGCAGCCAAATACAGTCAAACGCTACTGAAACCGCTATTGATCGAAATGCGGCTTGAACTTGCGGGAGGCAGCTATAAAATGTGCTGTTCTGCTGGTCTCTTCGGCGTTTGCATCACAATACAACTTAGCGTACGCATGAACTCCTGAGGTTAGGCTACCTTGGACAGGATTGTTTCTTTTACTGGGTCCAAATAGCGCGACCAATGCTACCTCTGCGACGCTGCGGTCCGTTCTACAGGCTGCGATTCTCTAGATTAGTTCAGAATACACCAGTGAGCCTAGACAACAGGGAAGAGAGATGAACAATTTGAGATGAACAACAAGCGGACTATCAAAAATGAGCACCCTGGACTTTGTTTGGTCCTGTTTCTGACCAGGTTCCCTCGTTCGCACCAGAACGAGCTGTTGGGGGTGACGGATTGAAGGTGGGCGGCACCGATGGTACACACAACTGCGTCATTTCCCCTGAATCGGAAAGCTCAGTCTCTCACCTTGATTCTCTACTAATGACTGAATACGTGAACGACGAAAGACGGAACCGGAAACAAGAAGCCTGCAATAGATGCTCTCCCGCCCTCCCATCTCATGACTGACGAGGCTCATCGGAGTGCTTGGCTGATATGCCTGAAAAAGGATATCCTCTGGCCACAAAGCCAGTAGCAAATATCCCACAAAACTAAAACAGCATCGGTTGCAGAAGGTGAAAGAGGCTATCGGGTCTCTGATTCATAGCCGTTCTTGCTCCAACCACAAGCCGGAATCAGAGATGTCTAGAGATACAACTGCGATCTCAGCTTGTACCACATTATCAGGCAAAGCCCTTTTTCCGTAAGATTTCGCTATCACAAGTGATGTTCAAGCTCGTTGCAATATGTGGCTTTGAAGTTGAAGTACTAATGTACAGTCCGTTGCGTTGACAGCGTCCGCCCCCAAGTTTGACCCGGAAGGGAAATTTTCCGCTAGCCTAGAAACCCCTTAAAACCCCCTAAACTTCACACTTTAATAACTCTATGCGTACACAATGCGCGTAAATAAAAAATATATCAATCGATAGCCCCCGACTAGGTAATTATAATGATATCTTTTTTATTTACACGTATCCTCCCAGATCTTGCGAGTACTAAAATGCTTCGTCACCCGTACGCGACAAGTCATCAATCTCTCGCAGTGGCTATAAAAGGGGACTATCAGTATGGTTCACTACTCACAAACCGATGGCGTGTGTGTCTGATTGACCACACACAGTCTTTCCTTGCTCGCATTCGGCTTTCTAAACCCGTAAAGACTCAGAAACGACGCATACATATGATGACGTACACATGACCAGATGCCTCTGAGTATAGCCCCAAAGCCCCCATGGGAGTTTACAAGCGGCGTTGTCCAGTTATACGTGCCACATATTTCCATCCAGACCCAGACAGCGGATGACCAAACGTTCGACCATACCTGTAACACCCGCAACGCTTTAGACGCACTTCAAATTGCTGTCGAGGTTTCCATTCCTGTCCCATCACCCGAAATATATACTCCCGCATCCAGGCTAGCCGAACTCTTACATCGTCAATACTTCTCGTGGTCCTATATAGGGCCATCGGTAGTCTTTTATCTACTCGAAATACGGATGATACTCTGTGTACATGATCTTTCCATGACTAGAGACGACCTGAGAAGGATACCTACGCAGGCGTCAGCTACACATCCACAAGACCCTGTAAACATAAACCCGAGCTAGCATGCGTCCTCACGCTGGCGACTATCCGGATATACACCCAATACTCCCCGAGAAACCGAGACAACAGGGACCCGGTGTCCAAGTCGCACTCGCCATCTACGAAATTGAGCATTCCCCGGGCCATAAAACGCAAATGGCTATAGTTCCAGAACCATGGCAGATACCAACCATTTACTATCACGATGACCGGCAATCATTGCTGTTCAATCTCGAACTTCCAGCCCTTGGACGCATTATATACCCCCGGCCCTTCTTCCCGGACCAGACACAGCCTTCGCCACAGCGCCGATCTAGTCAATCTCAAGACAGAAAACCAGCCTGCGAGCATGGGAGCAAGGTATAAATACAGACTTCATTCGTATCTCTGTCATACCCAGCAATGAAACAGCTGAATCTACATAGTCGTAGTTCAATTAGAACCCAATACTCTTTCCATACCCAACCGACACAAGCAGAACATCTCCCATCCCAATTGACTCATTCCGTCCTCGACTCAGGTCCGGCCGCGTGTGCAGTCCGCATACCCTGCCCCGGAAGACGGACGCCATCCACCGACCCAAAGTGCGACTCCATCTCGCATCGGCTCCAAAGCAGGAACGGCACCAGCTTAACCCATCCGTGCTGATGAACCACGATGCAAGGACATAATCGCTCGCAGGATTTCGCATCCATCATCCAGCATTCATTATTGCCCCGGTTCACATCTTGGATCCATCAAAGGACTTTATGTACGCCCAGCTGCGCATCGACCTGGCATCTGAGCCCATCGCTACACAAGAACGGTCATTGGAGGGCGTCACTGCATCTCCCGAAGACGATAACCTCAAATTTAACAAATTTATTCAAGGCATCAGTCCCTAGATGCAGATGGCCCCCCGTCCCCTGACAGACCCTTTATATGAATAAAAACCACCGCCCACCTTAAAAGCAATGGTTGATAATCTTACGCTGATATTGTAGATTCTTGTGAGCTGTATGAAGCATACTTGTAACAACACGGCAAACTGCCTCCCCACGCCTACTCTACTGACTCTACCTCGCTAATCTTGAGCCAGACCGTCTCCTGTAACGCCGACTTTAACCGCCCCTTCTTCCGCCGGTGCTCATCAGCGTGATCTTCTGCTTCTTCTTCTTCCCCTTACCGCCGCCACCACCACCACCACCACCACTAGCACCCACAGCTGCTGCACTGCTGCTGGCGGTGGAAGCGCTGGGTTCGTTAACGCCCATCGCCTCCATCTGGAACGACAGCTCCGCGGCGCTGAAGACGTCTTCGTCCTTTAGCCAGCCATCGTCCACGGCGCGCTGCGGGGCGAGTTCCGGCGACCCGTGGACTACGTGAGTTCCCCACACCGTCCTCTGTGTAGATGGACTCGTGGAAATGGAAGCGAGGTGCTCGAACCCGGGTCGCGGGTCCGGTGGCGTGGCGCCAGCATGACTGGACAGCGGCTGGAACTCCTCGAGGTTCAACGCGGGGACGTGGTCCTCTTCGATCGGGCCGTAGTCGCGCCTCATCGCAGCCGTGCTCTTGAACTGCGCGGCCTCGATCCTTTCGGACTGAAGCCTCTCGCGCTCCTCCTGCACAGCCTTGTCGCGGTTGCGCTTCCTCCTCCGGCCAATCTCGTCCGCGAACTTTTCAAGCACATCCGCCGACACGATGTCCGTCCAGTCACATTCCAGAAAACTGATGCGGCATCCATACGGCAAGTGGCCCAGGTACTTGGCCCGCTTGCGCTGCACCTCATCCACGACGTGGCCCGTGGAGATGTGCTCGACGCGTGGGAGGAGTGTTGATGGGAACGCCGAGAAGTCGCCATACTTTGTCTTGAGAATCCGAATATCGAGCGCTGAGAGGTATAGATGTGGTTGTGACGAATAGAAGTAGAAATCTGGCTGCACCGACTTTTGCGTTCCCGCCGTCATCGAATCATTCTTGCCGAGATCTTTGACCTTGTCTTTTGACGCATTGATAGCCCGGATCGCCTTTTGTGTCCACTCGTCGTCTTCATGATATAGTAGCTGGTCCTCTGTTCCCTGCTTCTCCAACGCCTCAATCTCCTCGTCGTACTGCTCCACCATGTAATCACCGGTGCCCTTCATCATTCTCGCGTAGTCTAGCACGTTCGCGGCAAAGTGCCACGGAATGTCATCCGCCACGTTTAGCGCATCAGAGCCGTTCTCCCACGGCAGCGCGAGCGTCGACTTGGCGGTGCGCGCCATCAGCCGCAGCACCACGTCGTCGCCGACCCGCGGTAGAGGGCTCTCCTGTCCCGCGTAGAAGCGCACCGGTCGCGTCTCATGCAGGTAGACGCTGTCCTCGCACAGCGGGCACTTCTTCCACTTCAAGCCCTTTGAAGGCTTGGAGTCCTCGTCGGTCGTGGTGTTCATGAATCGGATCAGGCAGGACAGACAAAAGATGTGCCCGCACTTTGCCATCCTCGGCGCGACCGGCTCGGACAGGCAGATCGGGCAGCTCGCGGCCTGCGACTCGGACGACGCCAAGATCTGCAAGACATTGTTCCAATCGATATGTACGTCGGCGTCGGCAGCCTGACTGGAGTAGCTGGCCTCGGGCGAAACGACGAAGCGGTAGTTTGCGTGGACGTATCTCGCCTTGTCGTTGGCGTGGTGTCCGGAGCCGGGGCCCCAGGTCGGATTGCGCCTGTAGCTCCTAGCATACGAGTGATGCTCCGCAAAGGGTCGTGTTGGCATGCTGTAGTTGAGCAGGTGGGTGATGGAGGTCTGTCCCCGACGGCTCGAGGGGTTTCGGACCGCCCTCATCTCGGCGAAGGCGTCATCGTCATCCGGGTTCGGGTGCCCCCTGTACTCGCCACCGAGTCCCGGCCGGCGCTGCATCTTGTGCTGTTTCCTGGCACTCTGGCTCTTTCGAGGGGCACCTTGGGGATGGGAGGGGCTGGCTTGTGCCGGACGACGGTTGGATTCGAAGCTCGTGGTGACGGGGCCTGGCTGGATCGCAGGCGAGTGGGAAGTCGACGCTGAAAGGGACTTGCCCAAGTTGGACGGTGTCGAGCTCATATTCGGCTGTTCGAGGATCGGGGTGAGTGTCGTGAGAGTCCTCCCTCCCCTGGAAGCGGCAACAGTCTCAGTTGCCCCCCCAGCTTGGTGTCGTGATGCAATGCGGCGCGAGGGGAGGAGTAAGGAGAGTGGAAGGCGGCGACGCGGGGCGGCGGCCTAGTGTGTTGACTCGAGCGTGAGGTATGCTGTCCGCCTGAGCTGGGGTCCAAGGCCCTCTCCTGACGATTCGATTGTAGATGAATGAGATGCAGTTTGTAGAACCAGACGGGGTCCAAGGTGGACGGACCCCATGAGTGATAGGTGGGGATCAGGTAATCGGATGTCGAGAGGATGCAGCGAGCAGAGCAGTACGTAGAGTCATTAGCGGGGCAAATCAAAGTTGCCGTGACGAGGAAACTCGGGATCCGGGGATACGTACTCTGCCATCATACCATCACGTGATCGGCGACTGCCGACAGATTCATGGACCAACGCGACGTTTCGTCGAATGAAGTCAAAGAAAGGCGACATGCATCCAAATGAGCCAATTGCGAAGAGACGGAGAGACTGCATGCGCGGTCCACTCCATTGACGTGGGGTCGTCACCTGTGATGTGCTTGGCCTTCACGTCATGGCATTCACGACGACATCTTGATTGAGCGGATCATATGCAGATTAGGCTCGAACGAGGTATTATGGTACAAGATAGTCCGATGCAGATGAGCCGTGAAGTAACAACGAAAGCAGCAAAATCAAGGGAGGCGGCAGCCCACATTAATTATAGAGGCTCCTCCGCCATGCCTGTACTTCCAACATCCTCAGCACCCAGCTGCCATGCTTCATTCTACCTCTCGAGCTCTTGCACATGCAAAGTGGACCGGGGGAATCATAGAAACGACAAATAACCCAAATACGCAGCACCCGACAAGACAAACCATATGAAATGAGGCGAAACACGCAGCCGCCCATCCACCCGCAAGCCAACGGCGGACGTCATTATCATTAAGCCGCTTATTTGCTGTGCACCTTGCTCTTGAGCTTGCCGATGAAGGCGCTCAGGCGGTTCTTCTTCTTCTTCTCGGTAGCCGCGGGGCTGTCGGTAGCCTTGTTGGTCGTGCTTGGTGATGTGGACTCGGGAACGGAGGAAGCGGCCTTGGCAGGGGTAGCGGGAGCTTCGGGCTCCTTGGTGGTGGTACCGTTGGTGCCGTTGACAGCGTGAGTGCCGTTGGCCTCCTTGGGCTCGTCCTTGGTGACAGCCTCCTTGACCTCCTCCTTGGCGAGCTTGGCCTCCTCCTTGACGGCCTCAGTCTTGGACTTGTCGCCCTCCTTGACCTCCTCCTTGGTCTCCTTGACCTCGTCCTTGACAGCCTCGGTCTTGGTCTTCTCGGCCTCCTCGCCGACAGCGGGGACGGTCTTGACTTCCTTCAGGAGCTCGGCCTCAACCTCCTTCTTCTCGACGACGGCCTCGGTGTTGGCAGCAGCCTCGGGGCTCTTGCCAGACTCGGTGATGGCCTCCTTGACGACGGCGGGGACCTCAGGGGCAACCTCCTCGCGGGTCTCCTCCTTGACCTGGGTGCCAATGGCCTCCTGGACAGGGACGGGCAGGCTCTCCTTGACGGGCTCGGGAAGCTTAGCGGCCGCGTCGGTGGCAGCGACGGTGGCCTGGTCGACGGCGGGAGCGGCAGCCTCGACGACAGAGTCCTTGGCGGCGACGGCGGCGGCGACGGCAATTCCACCAGCGGTGGCAGCGGTAGCGGCAATGGCGCCAACGTTCTCGGACTTTTGAGTTCCGAAACCGGAGGTGCCCTCGGAGGTAGAGGGGGCCTCGGGAACCTTCTCGAGCAGCTCGTCCTCAACAACAGCCTTCTCCTGGACGGCCTCGGGGTTGGCGCTGGCCTCGGGGTCAGCGTGGGCCTTCTCCTGGGCCTCCTTGACAACCTCGGGAACCTCAGCCTTGGTCTCTACGGGGACCTCAGCAGCAAGAGCAGCAGTGGTGGATGTCGGGGCGGCGCTGTTGATTGTAACGTCGGCGGCGGATGCGACAGGCAGGCTAGACTCGGGGATAGTGGCGCTGGTGACGGCAGGGACGGTGGTCTCCTCCTTGGACAGGCCGGGCAGAGCGCTCGAGTCCTCGTAGCCCTCCTTGTCGAGCTTGACGTGCTCGTTGATGTCGCCAGCCTTGACGGAGGCGGGGAGAGGCTCGCCAGCCTCGACCTTGATAGGCTCAGCAGTAACGTCCTGCGCGGGGAGGGGGTTGACGCCGAAAGAGACCTTGTCGAGCTCATTGGCGGGGGTGACGGGGAAGCCGCCGGGAATGTCAGAGGGGGTCTCCTGGGGAAGGTCGTCCTTCTCAAGAGGGACATCCTTGGCCAGGGCGGCGGTGGTGGACTCGGGGGTGACGGTGTTCATGACGGCGGCGGTAGAGTCTTCCTTGACGATCTGATCGGGGGTGAGGAAGTTGTTTACGTTGCCCTCGTGGTCGGGTTCTTGGGGGGCAGTGTGATCTGTGATCCAGTTATTGTCGACGACAAACTGTGAGGGGGAAAGAAAGCGGGTTAGTTAAATTGCACGAAGCAGATTAGATGACGATGTTTTTAAGCGAGAATCAGTGTGGGCAGCGCAGTTGTTGGTGCAATGGATCCTGGAAAGATATGACGACGCGCGGACGACAAACTGGGTCAGCTGGCCGCGCGAATCTGGGAGATGCCGATGTTATAAAGGCGACGGGACCAGAAAGGAAGGTATGGCCATTGGCCTGGCCTGGCGTGGTGGAAGGTGGGAAGGCGCCTAGGGACCTGTGGTAAATTGGAATTGGGAGGCGGCGGTTCCTGGCGCGCTGGATGTTCCTTGGCCCAGGATGGGATGGCAGCTTGTTCCTGGTGCTGTGGTGCTACCTTAGCCCGACGAGGAAAGGCAGACGACGGGAGGCACACACACACACACACAACAAAACAAAACAACCCACCTCACACACACCTCATCGCACCACAAGGCAAGGAAAGGCCGGTGGTGCTAGACATTGTCATCTAGCCCGGTACCTTTGTACCCGAGATGATGGCGGGCAGTGTGGGATGTGTGTGGTAAGGCGTGGTGGTCAAGGTACGGCAGCGTGTGCGCGCGTGCTTGATTGCTTGCTTGCTTGCTGGTATGGCATGGCATCTGGCAGGTGTAGCCCGGCAAAAAAAAAAGTCGTCGCTGGTGGTGACAGCAATTGGACCAGTGACGATGGCCGGTGGCTGCTGCTGGTTCCTGCCGCTCCGCTGATGCTAAGCCAAACGCTGCGAACCTGTCCGGGCTGGCTGCATGGGACCCATGTCGCTGGCCACTGCTTTCGCTCCCCACCATTCAAAAAGAGCAATGAACCTGGAAAACCTTGTTCATTTCTTTTTGGAGCAGCGAGAAAGCGGAGCTCTGGACCGCTCTGCTCGGGTTCCGCCCATCACCTGCGCCAGCCAGCCCAGCCAACCGCCAATTGCCCAAGGCAACTGCGTCGATGAGCTGCGCGACTGAAGGATCATTGCGTCATACCGCGACCAGCCCGGGACAGTCGGCCAGCACGACGCCAGCCCCGAGACCCGCGTGAGCGACTTGCATTGCGCCGTGCTTGTGTGACTTGATTTTGCTTTCCAATCTACCCACTGCAGCGCGGTGCAGCACCGGACCGGGGTAATCGTAGACTGACTGCCTCTGCTGCTGAGGTTGCGCAGGGTGGAGAGCAGACCAAAAAGAAAGTGGCCGATGGGCTGGCACAAGGTCCAACGGGAACGGCAGACTCGCGCGATAGGGCGGCATGTCCGCAATGTACGATAACAAAGCGAGAAACAAGCGGCTTCGGGAGGAGACAAGAGCCAGCGCCAGCAACAAGCGACCTCGGTGGTTGTGGTTGGCTGCCCGGTGCTGAGTGCAGCGCAAAGCAAATTGCGGGAGCGCCAGGGGCCTAGACGAGCCAAATTGCGAGATTGATGATAAACCCCCGATCCCCTCTGTCTGACATGACATGCCGCATCCGAGACGGGGCCTGCAAAGCCTGGAGCCGACTGGAAGCGGGAGCAGAAGCTGGAGCTCTGGAAGCTCCCACCAGCTTGCGGCCTGGCAGCCCAGCCCAGCCCAGCACAGCGAGACAGCATCTCCCCTCCAATTCAGCAGGGCAGTCCAGTCAGAGGACTCAGCGGACTGGTTGAGCCAGGGACCTTGGAGACGTGGATGTGGCGCACGGATGCTGTCGCGGGCTGGGCGAGGCGTTCGCTGCTTTCGATCGATGCTCGTGTCGCAGCTCACTCAATCTCGCTTTCACTGGCTTTGCCCCTCCGTACCGTCCGCCTTCCCAGGAAAAGTCGAATTGCGCCGATAAGGTGGTCTGGAAGTGCCGCCGCATGGCTCCGGGTCCGGACGACATGAATCAATGGTGATGTGAAAATAGAAATCGCCCAAGTTGGCGGTTACGAACCTTGTAGTAAATCTTCTCCGAGGCCTCGGGGAGAGTAACAGTCTTCTCAAAGGCGTCGCCGACCTTGTCCAGCTTCTCGCTCTTGGTCCAGTTGTCGAAGGTGCCGGTAACGTAGACCTCCTCGGCCGGGTGAGCCCTATGAGAGACGGGAGTGTTAGCAATGTCTCCGTTTAGCTAAATGCTATCTTTTCTTTTTTTTCGTCTTCTTGTGTAGAAAGAGTGCGATTCGAGGCCGCAAAGTGGATTCGCCATGTCCGTAAGCGGCACGAACTTGTGTGCAAGAAGGTTCGCATTCCGCATGGCAGACGACGGAAATATGCAAGCGCAGCCAGCAATCGCTGAAGCTACGGATGCGCAGTTCAGGTAGAGAGGTAGACGCCCATCGTTGCCGCATTCCAGTCCGGTCAAGAAGAGCGATGGCGGGGAGAGGGGGAATGCGAGTGTGGGTTTCGCGGGCAAGCGTACCAGGTGAACTTGAAGGTGCCCATTCTGATCGGTGTGGCGGTTTCTTATTTTTCGAGACGGAGTGATCAGTATTATTCCGGTCGGCGCAAGAGTATCGTCGTCGTCGGATACGGTGGAAAGAAGAACAGAATTTCGAATCGCGTCTTGCGAAGTAGGGGAGGGAAAAGGTGGAAAGAAAAGTTGAGAGTCGAGCGGCGGGCACCCCCAATTTTGCGCGCGTGGCAGCGACAGAAATATTGCTGGGGTCGGGGGTGGAACTGAGCTGGTCGCATTCGCAGTGAGCCCCAGGGTGCTGCTAGGTTAGGTAGGTAGGCAGGTACCTCTACTGACTGGACGGGAGCGTGCAGGGTATCCGTGGGAAGGAGGCACTCGTGAAAAGAGTTACAGAGCTAGAGCTACAGACTGATGGCGGCGCCAGCGGTTGGCCTGTGCCTATCGTGCGCTGTGGCTAACCAAGGCACCTCAGGTATCCGGCCTATGGAAGATGGTGGTGGGAGACGTTGGCGGTCTGGAAGTCTGCGGTCTGCGATATGCGACCTCCGTCTCTTTGGGCTGGACTGGACTCTGGACTCTGGACTCTGAGTGTGACTCCACTCCACATGCACCGGCTCTGCAATGTGTGGGTGCAGTGTGCAGTGCTTCATCATCGCTGCAGCAGCGGTGAGTGTCTTGAAATGACGACAGCTTGAACAAGCTTGTGCAGCTGGCTTGGGCGTCTGCACCGCGGGTGACTTTGGGTACTGTGGCCAGTCTCGGCTCACCTCGAGTCGGCCAGTTGCAGCAGAGATCCCCATCTTCAACGGTTTTGTCTGGGCTGCTCGGCATCCACAGCACATGTCTCTGACTCTCTGACACGGGGTCTCAGAGTCTCTCTCTCTCTCTCTCTCTCTTAGTGAGGATGGAGTATTGCTGCTGCTGAAGATGAATCCAAAATGTCCCCCTGATTTCCAAGCCAAAACAACCCCTTACTGACCGACTTCCTTTCTTCGAGCGGTGGCGGACTGGAGGAAACGGGTGCAATGACACGCCAAAAATACATTCGGCCCCTTCGCACCCAAGGCATGACTAGGCGCAGGAAAAGCTCGAGAAGGTGAGGCGCCGCCGTCACAGCGTCGCAGTGTTACAGAAGGGGACAAGCGCGGCAGCAGCACCTTCCTTGAGTCTTAGCTTCCATTTCAATACTACCTGTACGAATAAGGTGCTACCTTCCATTGGGACGACGACGACGACAACTGAAAGACTCAACGGAAGGAACGAACTCTGTTAACATGGGCATGGCATGGCATGGAAGGAGCAATGGAGGCAAGGGCAACGGAAGGTGGACAGGGCAGGCACCGGCCTGCCCACCTGCCTTACGCACTGCAAGTAACTGCCCGGCTGCTCATGCAATCCACCTCGCCTACAATGTTCGTCACCTCAGGTAAGGTACACCTCAATGAATTGACGAGCGGGACAGTGGACTCGACCCTCGCGCCTTCTTCGCATGAACACTCGCATTAACAAGCACAAGCAGGACATCTTCCTGCCCTTCGAACCAAATGGAATGGCCAACTCACGCAGCATCATGTACTGCACTGCACTGTACACGCATCGCCGCCCAAACATCTTACCTTAGCAGCGTCGCATCCGCCAAACTCGCCGTTGTCGTCTCCCCCACTCCGCCGCAGAAAGCCAACGCCAACGACACTCATCGCGAGCAAACTATCTGATTCCCAGCCTCTGTTATCCCTGCTCTCTTCACCTTACCTCTTCACCGATTCTTCCTGCTCTTTGCTTTGCTTTGCCCGGCTCTGCCCTGCTTTGCTTTGCCTTACCTCGCCGTGCCTTACCTTGCCTCGCCTCACCTTAACTTACCGCAGCACCTAAACTAATGCTAGCCCAGACCAGACCGAAAATACCTTACCACGCTCGTCTGTTGTCTGGTGTGTGCCTCAGAGGTGGGATGAAGCTAGGCTTGCATCTAATTTCGATTCCCAGCGCGCCACCGCACCAAGAGACACACACCTTTTTTCACCGTTCCTGTGGATCCGTACCTCGAATTGTTGCCCAAACCGCCTTCTCTTTGCCCGTCACCTCGCCGCCCAGGGGTTGATGAGTCTTTGTCTTGTCCAGAAAGCCCTCTTTGCGCCGGTTTGCGCGCCGCCGCTCCCACCGCCGGTTTGATTGAGCATCAATCCCTCACCACCCGACGCAACACTCGCAAACCGCCATCGGACTCTCAGGGCCGAGATCCTTGGCCCGCAGCTCAAACCCGGCCGGGCCCCTTGCCCTACGGATTGGTTCCTGGCCCTTATCTTCAGGTCAACCATTCTGTAACAATTTTGCTCCAGGATGGCACCTTTTCGTTGGGCACTTCTGTCGGCTCCAATTGCACCAATCCTACGGCAATGATCTGATTCTCGAGCTTTCTTCCCGCCCTCGCCGAACCGATCCTGCCACCCAGCCACCCCAGAGCCGTCTGCTCCTGCCATCTCGAGTCGGAGACGCTTCGCTGATATTACATCCCGCGCGCCCCTGGAACCAGAGCCAGCCACCACACGCCAACGCCAACCCCAATCTGCTGCTGCCGTCAGCCGCTGCAGCTACTTTGCTGACAAGACGGTCCGAACACACAACTCTGGCGACTGCTGACGCAGCAGAAACGGCCAACTTCGAGCCGAGCGTCAGACTTTCTGCCTCAGGGATGCTTTTACTCTGATGAACTCTGCCGTTGTTCAATTCCTGCAAAAAGGCCGGCTTCGCCATTTGAAATCATCTCAGATTGCCGCGCCTTCACTCTCACCCATCAGCCGTGGCGGCTTGCGTTCCACGCCAGAAAGCTCTGCCCACCTTCTGCCCGCCGTTCCACCATTTTCAAGTCACGCGTGACCTATATCTGGCGCAGTTATTTCCCGTAGCTCAACGGATCACCAACGGATCTCAATCTTGGATCTTGCCGCACTAAGAAATTTGCGGGGAAGGGGTGGAAGCCTCGAACTGTATCCGGGACTGCCCCCGACTGAGACAATCTCTGGTTCTCATCATCCGTCCAACCAACCCCAGCCACCTCCAGAGCCTCATGCGCGCGCGCGCGACAATGATCACCCTATCTCCACTGAATAATTTTCTTCTCTCAATGGGAGATGCCCCATAACTGATGTAAGAGCGCAGGTGGGCGGACAGACGAGCATCATCTTCGAATCAACGGCAGACTGACCCGTTGAATCTCATCAAATGATGACGATCGACTAACCCGGCACATCCTCGTTGCTAATTACCATGTCAACTCGGGTGTTCAACCGATGTCGCAATGCTACCAAGTCTCAAACGGCCAGGGCTTCTCAACAAGCACGTGCCTGCGGCGACGACGAAGGGTTCCTCATGGTGACTCCGCAAGGTTTTCATCACCGGCGTGAACGACTCCGGACGCGCCGAGATCAGTATTCCCAAGAGCAAAGTTTGAGCGTTCTAAGCCTCGGGAGAGACCCTCAAAGTTTCATCCACGTATGATTTCGTTTCCTTTACCACTGTATCACTTTCAGGGGTTGGGCGCGAACAGACCCTCGATTCCCCGGAGTTTGCGATAGGGTCGACGTCACGGCTCTAGCACGTGTCAAACATCAGATGCAACCTCGCCGTTCCGTTTCACTTCTCTCTCTCGAGCATTTATCCGGTGCGAGATTGCGCACCGTCAGCCGCCGCGGTCATATTTTCCGGGCGGGTGCTGGTCTCCATCGCAAACGCAGAGTAGTCAAGTGCGTAGCTTCATCCGGATCAATTTCCGGGCGGGATCGTTCGGGCGACAAGCCACATTGATGATCCGCAAAGTCCTTGAGATGCCTCTGCCATGTGTACTGAACGCAATGACTGGTGCACAAGCCAGATGTTTGCCTCCTTAATTCTTGACGGTCACGTAGATTGCGCTAGACATTTAGGATGATCAGTTGGTCTTGGTCTCCGCCTGGCAACTCTGGCGAAGCCACACGAAATGATGGAGTACGTGAATTGGGTCTCTTGTGATAAGTACTCTGAACGAATGAGCGAGCGCTGCCAAGAGTTTCAGGGGCGCTTTGAGAAGTGAAGACCGAGACTGAGGTTGGACTCAGGTGGAAGCTCAACTGCATTAGACCATGGCAATGGAGAACCCAAAGACGCGGGTGTAGAGGAGCTCGGCTGTCATTCAGCCCACCCACTCACTCATATTTAAACAGTGACGGCTTTGCTAGGCTTCAGTCTCGGCCAAGAGAAATAATGGCGTTCATCGTCTCTGAGCCCAAATTCAACAGGGAAACATTGATGAGATCTCACCGTTGAGGCAGTTGGATGGAAACCACACGAGCGGGGGTGGCGTGTCTGGTGGCCGGCTCTGTTGTCTTTGGTGTATTCGGGGGCTCGATACATTAGAAACGGCCGGATTGGTGGCGGCGATTATGTGAAGTGGTTTGTGTGCTGCCTGGTGACGTTGTGGGTCAGTAGGGAGTTCTTGACTTGCTTCGTTGCGGCCAGATGGTATGTATACACACACAATTGCGGATTCGTTCGCCATCACATTTGTTTTCTAGACTGTTGGACAGGACTGCAGGGCTCACTTATACAGGCCACTTGAGAGCCGCTCGACGCCCGTTAGCTTTAGTAGGCCGAGGGTGCGTATAAGAGGGTCAAATGCGCGGATCCATGCCCGATCAAGAATACAATGAGGTGTGAGTCTGCCATTGCATAAGAAATGGCACGCGGGCTTCACTAGTCTTGCACCGGGATCGCCAGGTTGGTTTGGGAGTAAGGTTATGTGCCAGCAGCGCTTGGTCTAGTGATCTGGTTGTATGCGGAGGAATACGTGCGAGGTGGAGGCGATGAATAGCGGAGAGAATGAAGATTCTGGTGTTGAGCGGGAATCGGGCTAGGATGGATCAATGTGGAGTAGCACGGATTCAGGGACTGGAGGAGTAAGACTTCTATGCCGACAGTGTTGATTGCCTCGTGGTGATGGTCTACGTCCAGTGTGCCGTGCTCCATTGTTGGAAAGTAGACGAGGGGTTTGATATAT